AAATATTTGTTCCTTTCCACTATTATGATTAAGCTCCAATTAAGTTTTCTCCTTTATCATTCGCAATGTTTTCAGTTCTATTAAAAAGTACAAGTTCCCCTCCCTCCTATTAGTCCTGAGAGGCCTCTACCTTCAGGGAAAGGGGATATTTGAAGTCTAATCCTATATTTAAGGGCCAAAGGGAGAAGACCAGTTGAAAGTCTTTGTTCCATTCAGCTGAGACTATACCCAGGTATTCAGGACCTAAGTGTAGCCCTGACCATTTAGACCAAAGGGCTTTCTAAGGCAAACCCCACATCCTGGCATCTCGCTTAGCAGATGCAGAGAGGGCTGCATAAGCAAGCAATTAGTTTAACAGAAGCTAAGTTTAGCTGGGGCATCTTAATCTCAGAGTCAAGTTAAACCTGAAATGATCTCAGTAGGAACACAAGAATATATATTGGATTCCTACTATGGGTTTGGGATGGCCAGTTCGGTGTAGAAGTCACAGAAACTGTGTTCCTTCATAGTGACAGTGAACAAGCCTTGAAGACCAAAGCTTTAAGGAGTTGGTAGCTAGGAGAGGCGACAGGGGCAGAAAATGGCATGCCAACCCCATAGAGAACGAGACGAAGGAAGCCAGGCAGTGCAGGAATCAAAGCAGGGGTCGGTGTCAGACTCTCCCGTTCTGCAGCTCAATGCTGAATGCCATCCCTCTGCCAGTGAGCTTGTGCAAAGAATAACTGTGTGAACTGGGTGTAATGGCCTGTCCTGCCCCTTCAAGAGACAAGTCCCACCCACTCCCTCCCCAGTCCACTGAGGCAAGCAGATCTTCCTTCTGCTTCCAGTCTGAGCTCCTTCCTTTTTCATCTCTCTCCCGAAGTGGCAGCTTCTGCCTCGCTCACTTCTCCCCACTACTCCACTCCTGTCTCTCTTCTCTTTCTCTCTCTGCCTTTCTCTGCTCTTTCCCCTTCTCCCCTTTCCTCTTTTCCCTTCCCTTCCATAACCCATTAAATAAATATCCAACCTCACTCTGCATGGCTGCCTTCCTGGCCCGCTGTATCTCATGGCCTGCTGCCCACTGCCGCCACTCAGGCGTTTTACCATAACACTGGGAATACTCATAAAACAAAAAATTATAGCCATGAAATATAACTATCTCTTTGCTAGTATTGAATACTTCAAACCCAAACACTCCAAGTCAATTTCAAATTCCACGATGAACAGTAAAATTTACAAAAAAAAATCTCTAACTTTTTATTGTTATCTTGAAGCTATAACTGGATAGAAAATAACCATTAACTCAATCAGGCATTTAAAAGCACTTATTTTTAAAATTCGGGATAGCACACTTTATTTGCTCCCAGGTTCCTGTTTGTTACCAGGTATTTTCAGCAAACAGATCTCTTCAAGCATCTTCAGCTGCTTTAATCAAACCTTCAAAGTGGCTCCCGCTGCTGCGGGCAATCACAGCAGCCTGTCGGGGGTAAAGTGCAGGGAGAGAAAAATCATCATGTACTCCTTACAGTTCAGAAATGCCAAGACCCTTGAGTCGGGGCAAACGTGCATTTGTCTGTCTGCTTTAAATGGAAGCTGAATTTCCAGACGCTCTCTAAAATGATGTAATCACGTCAGATTTTTTTTTTAGCCATTAGTCAACTAATTAAATGTTGTGTTATTTATAACTACCGAATCCTAGCCTATATAGGAAGCATTTATTTCACTTTTAATATGTGTGTGGGAATGAGTATGTGATGATATGTGTATGGAGGTCACAGGAGTCTGTTCTTCCTACCATGTGGGTTCCAGGATGGAACTTAGGTTGTCTATCAGCCTTGGCAGCAGGTGCCTGCATACACAGAGCCATCTTGCCTGTCCATTGTGAAGGTTTTTAACGGGTGAAGATGGTATTTCTAAAAGATTATAATACACTTGACACTAATATCTTTTCAGTGGGAAGCTGAGCATTCGGTAAATACCTTAATGAAGTTCGGGGTGCTAGTCAGCATCATCTTCTGAAGATAGCAGGAAAATAAAATATAATCATCTGTCCATAAATGTTTTTCTATTTCATTAAAAAGAGAAAACCCTTCCGATTTAACAGATATCCTCTGTTAAAGGAGATGTTTTATAGAGTCCCTGCTTTCGGCTAGCTCTCCCATGTAGGGCAAAATGGCATTTTTATCCACTTAGTAGGGGAAGCAATGGGACCATGGGTGCTATAGTTCCTGGAAGTTTCTGATAGACAAAATCTGGAACTAATTAGCCAACCAGAATGAAGGATGGGCGGGGTGATCAGATGGAAGTTAGGTGCAGGACACAGAATGAGGGCTGCATGATGCGCACACAGTGGAGCCCGTCTGAAATAAGCAGAGAGCTGAGCATCTGATGGAGGAGGAGGTGGAAATGCAGGGAGAGCACAGGTCAGAACTAATGGGTGGGTTCAAGAGAGGATCTGGAACACCAGAGAGATTATAGTGTACTCTCTATAGTGTAGACAGAAGGAGCAGCTGAAGGTTATACGATTTAGTGATGCATCCCAGCTACTGAAAGAAATTATCCCAAGAAAAACAAAGTTCATGGTGAGACAGACCAGTGCAGGTGCTTATGTTACAAAGTCTGAAAAAAGCATTTCCAACCTAGGACTATGAGGAAATAATTACACTCAAGGAAAAGCAAATCTATTTTTTTTAAATAAGATATCGAAATAATGGGCCCTTGGATACTGTAGGACCCAGCCATGACAAGCCCAATAGAGGCCCAAGTCTCAGTAGTTTACCCTAAGGCAATACTTGGTTGCAAGAAAAACCACAAACTGGGACCACCCAGGCACCACCCAGAAACAGACCATCCAAAGGAAATTCCTAACTTACCAACCACTGTAGATAGAATCACCTGCCAGCACACACCCTTCGCTTTTCACCAGAACCTAGACAAATGTCAGCCAATCAGGAGTTCTGAACCTTAGAAATCCCTTGCCCCCCACCTTTGCTACTACAAAAACCCAACCCTTACTGAGCTCAGGGCTGTCCAATCACTCCAATACGTTGGACACATGGAGAGATGGAGTTTGCAAACTTGTGAAAGAAACAGGCTCTTTGCTCTTACATACAGGACTCCTAGTTGGTTTTGTGGGGACTCCGTGATCTGGGCATAACAGATACAGACTAGGTAAACATACGAAGAGTAGCAGCTTCTCAAATCTTCCTACAGAGTAGTGGTTCCTCCACGTCTTCATATAAAGAAACAGTAGCCTAGAGATGCAGAGGAGTAGACTACAGTGTCAAAGTCTGTTCTGTTAAAAGATCCCAGACTTTGAGGGAGGTTCTCAGATTTCAGGGCCAGGCTTTCTTCCGTATCAACTGGCACTCAGTAACAATATGTAGTTTTCTGGTAATCACCAAGGAGGCGCTTTGGTTTAACCAGGGAAGAGAATGGCTTACTATCCAAATATTTTGTTTGTTTGGAGACAAGGTCTTCCATGAGGCCCAGGCTGGCTTTGAACATACCAAAGAGCCAACATGATCTTGAACTTCAATCCTCTTATCTCCACCTTCGGAGAACTAGAATTATGGGTATGTGCCACCACGCCATGTCAAAACCCATATTTGAATCATCAAATATTAAAATTGTGCATTTTCCCCATGAGATGCCTTGAAAAAATCTGTTTTTGTGCATATAGGAATAAAAGTATAACTCTCTCAATTGCAAATATATATTTAAAAATTTGAAGGTTCAAAAATAATTTTTTCACTTAAATCTTCCCCAATTTGATTCCTTTTTAAATAAACACGGCAAAAGAGACATTTCAGATTCACATGACAGCTGCAGTCTTAAAATAATGAAGGTAAAACTAATACATTATTTGTGGCAAAAAATAAACTTTTCAGGAGGACAGACAAATAAATACTTAAATAAATAAATAAATAAATATAGCTATAAATGAGGGCAGTGATTACATAAAAACAGAAGATCTCCCTAGTCCTATCCCTGAAGGATTATAATACAATGGGTCCTGAAGCTCTCTAAAATCATATTTTTTCCTAGGGCTGGAGAAATGGCTTAGTGGTTAAGAGTAACGGCTGTTCTTCCATAAGACCTGGGTTCAATGCCCAGCAACCACATGGTAGCTCACGACCATCCGTAACTTTAGTTCCAGGGGATTCAATGCCCTCTTCTCATCTCTTTAGGAGCCACATGCAAGTCGTACATAAACACACATGTAGGAAAACACCCAGACATGCAAACTTAAAAAAATGTAAAAACCTATATTATTTCTAACTAAAAATCAGTCTTAAGAAACTCTATTTCTTTAGTTAGATATACTTGTTAATTTTCTTATAAAGAACAGAGAACTAATTGTAACAAAAATATATAGATTTTCAAGAATAAAAAATATTTTATGAGAGAAAAAATGTGAAATTTTAATAAAGAAAAACACCCAGAACCATTAATACTGAGCTGCGGAAAACTTGAGCAGTGCCAGAGCTACACAGTAGGAAAGTGAGGAAGTTACAGACAGGAGTTCTCGGATGTGTGGCTACCGAGAACCAAACATGCTAGGAAACCATGGGTGTAATGGGACATCAGTGAGAGACACCAGCAACAGGAGGATGCAGAGGCTTAGTGTTCAAGTTCACCTAATCCTGAACTTCATGCTGCAGGCATGAGACAAAACAACACCAACATAAAACACAAAACAAAAGCCCAGGGATGACTCAAGAATCTGAGGGTTGCCATGGGGCTGGTGCAAGTTGCTTGGGTACCTAGTTAGTGTAGAGATGGTCCATTGGAATACCCGTAATAATCAGGACCTTTGCGCTTTGCAGCTAAAGCAACCTCCTTTCTCTGGGCTTCAGTTTCCAAACTTGTAAATTGATGGAGTTTGTTCAATCAGATGATCTCGAAGGATAGTTTCAAGAATTCGAGTGGATTTGGAAAGTGTCAAAGAAGGTGTCAGTGCATAGCGGCGTTTCAGTCCCAAGCCCCCAAAAGAATAAAGCTAAGCCAATTTTTAATAGTTCAGTTTGCATATAATTATTTAATTCCATCTTTACTTAGTCATAAACATTACAAAACATAGGAAAACCAAATTTTCCCCAAAGTGATTCAGGCTGTGGAGCAGAATACTTGGGGACTTAAGCACATAATATAGTATAATAGAGGCTATATATATTTAGCAACTCAATTACAGATTGACGAGTACAATGGAAAGGTAGGCAACCCGAAGACGTTAAGAGATCGATCTCCGCCTTCTGCAAATAAAAAAGTGAGCTGGTTACACACATTGAAAGGTCCGTAGAGGTGTGCTTCCTCCTTTAAGATGGCAGTGATTATCCACCCACACAGTCATGCTGACGACAGCTCTATGTCCATCGTGACATCTATCGGTTGGCTCTGAGGTCTACCTTGGGCCTGAGTTGTTGGGGTTTTCCTAGTACCATCTCTAGCCTCTACCCCTAGCTGAAGCCATCCATCCTAAAATGCCCTATGTCTGAGGCTGGGGGAGCAGGTGTGCACAGGTGAATCTGGAACAACTGTTCTAAAACAAGCAAAGGACCAGATGCAAAGACTGAGAGATTAGCATGACCTGCAGATGGTACACGCTTGCCACATCTTATGCAAGAATTTAAGATTCAAAACGACTAATGCTTGGGCTTCTGAAAGTTCTAGTACGGCATCTGAACTGTCTCTCTTCCTCTCTGTGATAGAGGGGACAGGTACAGAAAAAGCCACATCAGAGTGAGCTAATTTCACGTCACTCTTGCTTTGAAAACACCCAGGAAGAGCTGATGACGTTATGAGGTGCTTCCTACGATGACCCCGAGAGCCGAATCTCAGTCAGATACGTTGTGGTTTCCATTTGTGACGATCCTCAGAGTTACTGACAAACGCGAGTTGTTGTGGAGTATGCTACACTTGGCAAATGCTCTGCTCTCACTGTCAGGGTAAGTACCCGGCTCTAGTGTGTGTGGGGGGATGACAGCCGGGAAGCACACCTGTAAAGGTGGGCCCTGCCAGCAACCAGCCTCTGCCCTTGCAATCCAATCATCACTTCAAGTTCCCTCTTTTAGCTTTTCATCCTCCTTGCCAGAGTGGTAAAGCAACTTCTTTCAGCACTAGGGAAACTCAACATGTTTATTCTTGTATTTCCCTTTTCCTCCTGTAGTTTACGATATGTGCTCTAGTAACAGAAAAGAGAGTTGTCACGCCGCAATAAGAGATACTGGCGTACAGGTTAAATGTGTTTCCTAAGCACTATGCAGTCTTTCACATCACTGCGGTCTATCCAGGTCTGAGGGGCTGGCTCCCTCTGGTGGGGCTCCTCTAGGCAGACACTTTTGCTGGGATCAGCAGCTCAAAGTCTTAAACCTTTGGGTCCAAGGTCAAAGTGGTCCAGGTTCCATTCTTTAGGAAATGCCGAGCTAGGTCTCAGTGGTTGGTCTTGAGAGATTGGGACCAGACAGATCCCTCTTAGATAAATATCTGAGTGGAGTCAAAGAGAACTCTGGTTTCCATAGAAAGAGAAAGTGGTGCCCCCTGTAAATCGCAGTCTCTGTGGAGTAAAGTACCTTCCTAAAGAGGTAGAAATAATAGGGGCGCATGTTGCAGATGCCCTTGTTCGGCAACGAGGAGCACTCTGGCTTTAAGGGCTTAAAACGGACTGACTCCGCTCATCTCTCTGATTTTTTCATACGTGAGCCAGAACACCATTGACCAAGGGGTCTGAAAGATTAACCAAAGAGGTTAGTGCACATTTCAAAGCCATTTTAAATATTCTACATATCGCACAAACATCTTTTAATGACAGAGTCATTTTCAATCCGCTTGTTAAAAAGGCAAAACAAAACCCCCACAAATATCTTGCTGTTTACCTTTGGAAATTACCTTGAAACTTACACAGCATTTTCATGTCATATTGATTACAGATTTCCCTAAAAACAACTTGCAATAGGAAAAAAAAAGAGACCTTATCCCCATTTTACAGACTGCTGAGGCTTACAGTCCACTGCCCACTGACATGGTGTGGAATCAGACCACAGGGTTCTTTCTACTTACTGGCTCAGGCTACAAGGCTACAATAGGGGGCATCTTGACTTCTGTACTAAGCAGTTCTCCAATTAGACATTCAGGAAGTGAGGAAGACAAAGACCAGCCTTTAAGGGCTGCGTCATAAAAATCTCAGTCCCATATGTCTTGCAATCTGTACAACCGAGTTTGCGCTACATAGAAAAAGGAGCTCTGGGCTCAGAATGGCTTGACCTTAATCTCAATGACCACACCCACAGGAACCAGGGAGGGCTTGGGCTGAAAGGAGGCATAGATACTCGCAAGGAGGGATTCTCAGAGAATGGGCTGGTGCTTGGATGGAAGACCTCTCTAATTTGGTTCTCACCAGTGCCTAGAGATGATTTCTACTCTATAGCAGCTAAGCAGTTAGAATCCAGACAGTATTTGCTAAATGTGTTTGTAAAGGAATGCATATGCCTGCATGTGGGAATTCTAAACATGTTATATCGGCAGACTGAGGACTTACTCAGTAGCGATTAGCTGACATAGCAACCACAAAGCTGTGAATGTACCATATTCCCGAGCCGTCAGAGGTGGCTGCAGAGACCAAGGAGACAGGGATCCTGGTTAAGAAGAACCCTGCGGCCCTCTCTAATGGTGTGGTTGTCAGCTTTGCTTCTCATATGAACGCAACAGAACAGGTTCAAAACCGCAGGGACTGGGTGAAGCAGCATGCCTCCTCTGCCCGGCGAAGGGACTGCAGCAGGGTTTAGTGAGCTACTGAGTGAGTTCAGGGAGAGATGGTGTAGCCGATGTCTATGGGGAGCTAATGGGTGGGACTGACTGAGCCTCTGTGCACCCATGTTGCACAGAGCTCCCCACCAGCACGGTTATGTCAATAATCCAACTGCGTATGGTGCTGTGTTGTTGCCTCGGGTTTATCCCGGGACCGCTGAAGTCCTTACCCATTCCTGTTTCTGCAGAGCTCTATACTCAAAAGCTCTCTTTGCTTGATATTCTCAAATCTTAAACTTGCAAATAAGCTCCTCCCGCTATGATGCTTGGCAGGTGATCTCCCAATGCTAACCTGGGCTCATGCAGGGCTTGAGTTTATGAAGAACACGCTGGTCCGGAGGCAGCAGTTACTTGTATGATTTACCAAATGCTGTGTGTGGCGTCAATACACCAGCTATTCTGACCTCATCATAAGCATTAGGGAAGTCAGCTGGGTACTTGAAGGTGCTGATGCGTCAGATGTCTGGGTTCAATCATGCACAGCAGCAACCCGCAGGGTAATAATAACAAGCACACTGGTGATGCTTGTTGGGTAGGGAGCCTTTCTTTGGTACCAGTCCTCCATGTCTATACACCCCTACTTTCTAGTTTTCCGTATGTGTGCGGTGAACATGTTTGTGTGTGTGTGTGTGTGTGTGTGTGTGCAGGTGTGTTTGTAGGTATGCATGTGGGAGGCACCCAAGATTGCTATGAGGAATCATCCTCAGTTGCTCTTCTGCCTTATTTGGTGAGGTAGGGTCTCTCAATCAAACCCAGAACTCACCGATATGGCTCATCTGGCTAGCCCACTTGTTCCGAGGATCCTCACCTCTGCCTTCAGAGGCTGGAATTACAGCGGGCTAACACACAGAGATAACATTTACATGGGTTCTAGGATCTGAAGTTGGGACTGCACACTTATGTTGCAAGCACTTAGCCATGAAGCCATCTCTCCAGCCCCCATTTCTTTATATTCCTTTAAGATTTCTATCAGCTGGCTAAAGGATCTCGAGGAACTCAGCACACTGAACCAGTAAGGAGAAGGGAGTCAGAGTCAAAAACATCTGGGAGGCAATTCTGCTCTGCCACAGCTGTATGATCTTGAGAAAATCTCTTACACACCGAGATCTGGTTTTCCCACCTGGAAACGTGAATGATGGCACCTGTCTTACTGTATTCTTGAGCGAATTTAGAAATGATTCCTGTGCGTGAAGCACTAGGCACATAGTAGGTGCTTTAAGAAATGCCTGCATCACCTCTACCTCCACACATTACTCCCTCTTCTGTCATTTGACAAATGCCTACAGAAGCATCACAGCCCAGAACAAATAGCAACTCTTTGCAGCCTTCTGTGGCCCTCAGACAGCTAACTGTTAAGCCACACTTTCTGCACTGCCCATATGCCCAATTAGTATTGTTCACGCCGCTAACAGACATAAGTGCCTTAGAAAGGTGTCCTCCAACATCACACCGCGTGGGGCTGATGATAAGAAATACTAGCTAATGACCTAACTTGGTCATGTCATGCAGATGCTCTGCCCTTATTTCCTCCTCTATAAAAGGAACATGATGACAGCTCACTGCGTAGGTAGCTGGAGGAACTCAATGGGCTGAGCCATGGTTATAAGGAGGACAGTGCTGCAGATGCACCAAGTGATTCACTGGTGCTCACCACTTTTATAACCTTTAACCACTTACTGAAAAGGACTGTCTTATTCTTGAGTGCGGCCAGTGCCTCTAACAGTTCCTTCTTTGTATAAGCCCAATAAAAAACAACAACAACAAAAAAGAGAAACCCTATAGTTTCAGTAAAAAATATTCAATTTTAAAATGATTTTAGGTTAATCAAGACCACCAAAATAAGGTGGGGCTTTGTTGCTTATTAGTTCTAGTACATTTTTGTAGCATGGTCTGAATCTACAGTGTAAGATGATGGGATCATGGGGGGCACTGGCCCCATCAGTAGACAGTTAATCCATTCATTAGGAGGAAAGGCCCTGTAGGAGAAAGTAGGTCACCAGGGGTGTCGTGTGTGTGTGTGTGTGTGTGTTCTATGTATGTGTGTGTACGTGTGTGCAGGTGTGCTCAGCAGTGGACTGTCTGTGAGAGGCCAGAGTCAATGTTGGGTATCTCCTGCAGTTGCTTCTCTAGCTTATTGAGACATAGTCTCTCAATGAGACCTGGCGCTCACCATTTCCGCTAGACCAGCCAGCCAGGGAGTTGGCGAGGTATATTGGCTCGCACCCCCCAGTGCTTGGGTTATGGCTGCAAATACCACTGCACTGGCTTTTCACACAAGTGCTGGAGATCCAAACTCTGTTTCACACTTTACCCACTGATCCATCTCATCAACCCCGGACAGGGGGTGTGCGGGGAGTCTGAAGGATCCACCTGTCCCCGGCCCCTTCCTGTTGACAGCTCTCTACTTTGCTCTGCCAGGATGGCCTGCCTCACTAGCCCACAAGAGCAATGGGGTCAGCTGACCACAGACTGAACCCTTTGAAACCGTGAGAGCAAATGAACTCCTCTCTTTTTCAGGTTGTTTTGTCCGGTATTGGGTATTCTGTTATAGCAAACAAAGGCTGACTGGCATATTTATGTCAGACACTGCTAAGAGCTTTTGCTGTTAATTTCTTCTTAATAACCAGCTGCTATCCCATGGTGACAGACAGCACATATTCCCAGTTGCCACCTGGGAGCAGACATTTCTTACATTCCCTGCATCTCTATCCCATTTGCATCTAAGATTCTGATTTTGATCTATTTCTGATATTAGGGTGATCTTCTGTTCATCTATCCATATGTCCTACAGGAACTTCAAAACTATTGTGTCAAAAATTAAGTTTTTTGCAGCTACAGTTTTCTTGCCCCGCAAACGATGTCCATTTGCACAAACTGTTGTCAGCCCCGGTTGCTCAGAGCCTGTTTTCTCCCGTCTTCTCTGGTCATTCTGCTGTCCTCATCCAATCAGGCTTCTACACCCCAAATACCTATTAAAAGGTGTCCTCTTCCCTCACTGCCCAACATTGACCTGTTTCACCACCACGCTTCCTCCATCACCCCAGGCCTTTTCTCAGCTCAGGGAAGACAGAATCATCTCAAGTGGCTGAGCTTCAGCCTACCCCATTGTGCGCAGTTCAGCAGGCCCCTCCCCAGCTGCTTTCTGCCTCTCTGCCTTGCCCTTTGCTGCCTCCTCAGTTTCTCCATCTTGGCCTTCCTGCCTTCAGGATCTCAGTCTACCCCAGCCCTCTCCGGAAAATGTTTTCTTGCCATTTTGCAGGATCAAGCCTTATTCACTTTTAAATCTCAGTTCAAAGGTCTCTTCTAGGAGGCCTTCTCAACTCCCCGTGTAAGCTGCACCTACTCGCTGTGTGGCTCCACAGCACTGGCAATTTCTCCTGTGGACTCACCATTCATACTTTCTCATTCAAGACTAAATCCTTACTACATGACATGCATTCAAGCAGGGGTAAACAGAGTTATTTATGTCTTGTTATATTATGCTGATTTTTGACTCTTTAAGTTTCTAACTCCATAACCCTGCCACATTTTCAAATACTGATAAGTACTTACAACAGTTCTTTGCATTTAATTCTATTTACTCCATCACTAACTCTATCTAACGCTGTGTCTCACTGCACTGTGGTCAATGACAGGAGTACTGGCCTAGTGCTTTCTCCTAAAGCTGCGTCTCTGATAACACCTGGAAAACTCTGTCGTCAAAATAACACGTTCTGGAGCAGCAAGATTTCCTCAGAAGAGCTCCATTCTGGAATCTGTACATCCACCCCAGCCCAGGATATTTTAGATAAGAAGACACACACCGTAAATGGCTAAATAGTAAATAGTATGTCTTTATCTACTTTCATAACAGATTATCAACCTGTTTATTAATAAATGTTGACCAGTTCATTTAGCCATTGTCTATCAAGAAAGGAATCATGATTCTAAGGAGAGGAGAAAAAAAAAACCTAAAAAATATTTTAAAAAGCAAGGATGGATGGGCCTGTTGTGGAGGCAGGGCCAAACTATATACCAGAAGAGAAAATGGAAAATATCTGTAAAATACAAGTGATTTAAATACAAAGAAAACAACAATAAAGGATAAAACAAGACGGCATCTTTACCATTCTCAGCCAGGACGGTAGAAATCCTTTATATAGGCTCAGGAAGCCTTCCCCTTGGACAGCCTGGATCAAGCAGTCAGTTGATGACTTATATAAAAGTCCCCTGCAAGGACAAAGAGACCCATGTCACATTTCCTCCTGTGTAAACAGAGGTGTAAATAAAGCCTTCTAGGGAAGGTATAGTAAACCCAATGCTTTCTGCTCGTTTAGAACAAACAGTCTCAGTGCTCCACTGACATAGGTATCTTCACTTGGGTGTAGGCATCTCCTTGCTGACTCTTTTTTTCCCATCATCCCCTTGGTCCTCTCTGAGTTCATTCCAGCAGACCTCTTCCAAAGAGAACACGTGATTTTACACTACATCACATTCTGTTCCCTGAAAGGCACAGGCTCGGGACAGAGTGGTCCGTCTGCAGGTTCTTAGCAGAGGAAGCTTTCAAAACCTTGGAAAACAACATCACAGTAGCTACTTTGTGTCTAAATAATACGACTGTTCACTCAATTCCCCAAAGGCTCAGTATATTTACATCAGACAAAGAGAAGGTAATTTCACGTGAATAATGGCCCCATGGAACAGGAAAACACAGGACAGCATCTCTGTTGCACAGACCTATAAGAAACCATCTTTGGAACACCAAGACTGCTGCCAACACTCCAGCATGTGGGCACTAAGGGCTTTATCTACCTTCCCTGCTTGTCTCGAGGTTGGTTCATTATTCGGCTCTTAATGACATCAGCCGGGGTCCCCAGAATAGAAGCTACGAGTCCAGAACACAAACTGTAGACACAAAGAAATGAAAGTTAAAGAGAATACTTAAATAGCTCCCAAACTCTAAGAAAAAGCACTTAACATCGAAAAAAGAACAGAGTGCAAAATATTATGTGAGATTAAAATTAATGTTTAATTCTGTAAAGAGACAGACAATATTTAAAGCATAGCAGCCAACAGGTATGTGCCTCCCAGTGCCAGGCTTCCTGTCAAGGAGGGGACAAGAGAAATAAAAGTCTCCCCTTGGAGACAGCTTGGGAAATGAAAGATCTTGTCAGGCAAGCTTGATGACCTGAGTACTGATTTCAGCCCAGCAGAGGAGAAAGCTGACTCCTGTAAGGTGTCCTCTGACCTCCACAAGCATGCTGTGGCATGCACACACATGCACGACACACAGTGACACCCCCACCCTCCCACTCACACCCCACCCCCACAGTCACACCCTCATGCCCCTCCCCACCCACACAGTCACACCCCATATCCCCTCCCTACCCACAGTCACACCCCATACCCCC